GGGGAGGCATGTGCCCCCCCTGACTAAGGTGGCACCAGTCACCTATGGTTGTTTTTTATATGTGATGATGCACCACACCACCAGATCTCAAAATCTTAGATCTGCTCATGGGACAAGGTCATCAGATTTTGCCTTGTCCCCTAATAAAATTTTCCTTGTTTTCATAGACTGTGTTTATGAATGGGGAAGTTAAAGTACCTCGGGATGGTATACAAAAAAACTAGAACTCTTGGTTCCAAAATGATAACTATTATTAGACCAACTCAGGCATCACAAGAGAACTGTCCTTTTCTGCTGGCTTTTGGGATCGAAGTCCCTTTGTCAGGCTCTGGGAAAAATATAGATGGTACAAGATGGTAAAAAGTCCCTATAGGTAGGAAATAACTTCATTTTTGCACAGAGGGAGCTGAAGATGGAAGGCTGTAGCTCTGGGTCTATGAGAGTGTCCTTGTGAGCTGTGCTGAGTAGCTCTTTGACGTGTAGATCAGGTAGAATTCCTTCCCTGGAGGTGTCAGATGGCAGGTAGGGAGGTAAATCTTTCTTGTTGTTCTGCAATGAAGTTTAAAATCCAAAATAGGCTAAATTTGGCATCTTCCATGTTTCAGGGGTGTACTTGGTAGCTATGTTGGTCTGAGACAAAAAGACATACAAAAAACTAGTTTTATAATTTCATAGTAGTTTGGGGTCAGAAGGGACCTGAACATATCATCTAGTCTAACCCCGTGCCACTGGCCAGAGCACACACTGGGATCACACGACCCCAGACAGGTGTTCGTCCAACCCGTTTTTGAATTTACCCAAGGTAAGAGCGAGGCCCACTTCCCTAGGAAGTTGGTTCCAGATCCTAGCTACCCTAACAGTAAAATAGTGCCTCTAATCTCTAACCTGAACCTATTCTCAAACAGCTTCTGGCCATTGTTCCTTGTCACCCCAGGTGCTGCTGTGGGGAATAGGGCTCTTCCTATTTGCTGTTGATCTCCCCTAACGAGTTTGTAGGCAGCCACCAAATCCACCCTCAGCCTCTGCTTGCTGAGGCTGAACAGGTTCAGGTCCCTCAGCCTCTCCTCATAGGGCCTGCCCTGTTGCCCTCCAACCACACGGGTGGCCCTCCTCTGAACCCTCTCAAGGTAGGCCACATCTTTCTTAAAGTGCGGTGACCAGAACTGGATGCAGTACTCCAGTTGTGGCCTGACTGATGTCGCATAGAGGGGGAGTATCACCTCTCTGGACTGGCTTGAGATGCATCTTTG